GTTTAAAGTTTAAAACCAGAGAAAATGTATTTTAAAAAATTTGGGTTTTACTTACATAGTGTCATCTATTCCAGGTCCATATAACAGCTCTTCTGCAGCAGCAGCAGCTTCCAAAGTTTTAATATATCTTTGTTTGTGAGCCGTTTGTACTCACTTCCGTGTCGCGCGCGAATTACTAAGTAGGAGTTGTGTGTTGGCGATCGTCATGTAATTAATTGCAAAATTATACGCAACTAATTTCATGACGATTTTCAACACACAACTTCTACTTAGCAATTTTTCGCGTGCGACATGGAAGTGAGCACAAACCACGAACTTTCAAACCCTAGTAGTTTTATTGTCGATATGAAAAATTTAGATTTATAATAAAGTGAATTTTTTTTATATTGTAAATATATTTATTTTACTATTTATGTATGAATTTATATTTTTGTCCCAAAAAAGCGCATTAGGCCGCACTATAATCGAGTGTGCGCACAGTGAGACCATGCAACGGTCGAAACGCTTCGGACGCAAGTACACAACAGCCTGTATCTCTGGAAATATTTGTCGGATCTATTTAAAACTTTCAGGAAATATTCTTCTAAATACCTACTTTTAGAAAATATCATTTTTGAAAAATCGATTTTTTGAAAATTTTAAACGTATATAACCCCTTAAGCAGTTGTATGTTAAAGCTGAGCACTCTATATTTATACGTATAGTATGAATCGCAAAGAGTATTACTTTGTAAAAACATTATGAAGCTTTTATTGGCACAAAAAGAACTAAGCTTTAAGTATAATAAATCAGACATTCTTCGCAGACTTGAAGACCGGGCAGTACGTGGCCTTGACTTTGCCAACCGATTGCAACAGCCTCTGCTCGAACAACATGAACCGAACTTGCTGCGACGAATTGGCAATCTGCACCTGTGGCACCGCGACTGGCCACTACGCCTGCATTTGTCCTCCCGGCTATTTCGGTTCCGGTCTCAGAGGTTTCTGCCAACGTAGGTTGTAATATTTGATTTATCGATCTCTGACGCTTGATACAACGCAAGGCTCTAAGGTCCTAAATTAAGATGGCTAAAGAATATTCTAAGAATGTTAATTCCTAGAACGTCCCTTGAATAAAGTGCGTACTGTGTGGCGATTGTTCAATTCACAGTTGTTATGTCTAATTTTTTTTCTGCATCACATGTACTTGTTATTAAGGTAATATACATTTTATTCTACTTCGGAAGTTCTCTCTTTGTGTGCTCACAGCTTGCCCGAACGGAACATATGCTTCCGCGAACACTTCTGGGGATTCCACCGCTGCATGCATACCCTGTCCAGACGTGAATCACGTCACTATCAAGGTCCCCGCGACCTCGATACTTGACTGTATCTGTGCCTCTGGATTTACCACGGATGGTTACGAATGCGAGGGTAATTTGTTGCGCGAATATTCGTGAACTTAGAATAATTGTATGATAATTTTTAATTAAAAGGGTGCCATCCTCGCGTGATCATTAGTACAAACACAAATTACTCGTAAAGTTATTCGCGAGATAAGGTGGATATATATTTTCAGCTATAATGTGTCCGAAATTGAGAATCCCCGACAATGGATACTTAGTGAAGGCGAGCGCTTGCAGCAACGTGGTGCACGCGGCGTGTGGCGTAAGATGTAGAATCGGTTTCCATCTTACGGGGGACAGTATCCGGCTTTGCGGCAAAGACGGCGCTTGGTCCGGCAACGAACCGCAGTGCTTGCGTAAGTAAAGAACTGCCCTAGATCACAAGCTGATTTTATATCGTCGTTATTTTATCATTGAAAACTTCAAAATAACGACAGATACCGTCATAACGTAAGTTTATTTACCAGCAAACACTATAGGTTACATGTTATTTTTACCTCTGTTAATTGGTTATAATTTTTCATTTAAAATATAATATATATTATACGTGGTTTATTATTGTGGACATTTAATTGAAAGAGGGATCAAATTAGATTTTCAATTACATTTCTCAGTGAAGACGTGTTCGGCTTTACGCTCGCCCATACATGGCCGCGTGAAATGCGAGCACGACGAGGATTATCAGCATCAATTTAAGGAAAATTCCACCGTGTATCCGATCGACACACGTTGCCAGTTTCGGTGCGACGTCGGCTATCAACTTCGTGGAAGCAAAGTACGCAACTGTTTACCTTTATCCCGTTGGGACGGCCTGAAAGTTATATGCAAAGGTAAAAAAAAAAGGATATCATCACCATATATCCTTTACTTTTCAGAATACTAACAGAGATTTAATGTCCTATGGTAGCTGTAAAATGCGAACCTTTACCGCAAATCACGAACGGTGACATCTTCCCAGAGATTTGCACCGGCCCAGCAAAGGTGGCCTTCGCCACCAATTGCACGATCACATGTAACGAAGGCTTTATCTTGGAAGGACCAACTAACAGAACGTGCATCGGACGCACTGGAATTTGGTCCCAGCGTCACAGCGTCAATCGATGCGTGGGTCAATATCAAAATCAAGTCTTTCTGCACTAGAAAAATGAATTTCTATCATATATTGCGTCATATGTAGGACAGACGAAAAGGAAATTGATCACGAGAATAAAAGAACATAAATATAATATTAAAAGAAATCCAGCAAGACTTTCAGTTTTATCAGAACATTGCAATCAATTTGGGCATACCTTTGATTGGCATAATATACGTATTATGGACATTGAATCTCATTATAATAAAAGATTGATTGCTGAGATGCTGTTCATCAAAGAACAAAAAAATAGAATTAACGCACAAAAAGATACTGAAAAATTAGACAAAACTTATGATCATTTGTTTAGGTCATTACCCTCAGAATAATATATATATACATTATATGATATATCAAACATAGAGGTTTGTTTTCTTTTATTCTTGTGACAACTGTCGTTCAGTACAGACCATTTTTCCACTTACATTGTTTCACTTGAAGGATGAAAATTATACATAGCATCTAATTTGACGTAAGTTTAATAGTTTCAATTTGATCTATAATTTTCAAGTTGTTTCCTAATATACAATAATGTTGATTCAGAATTGCGATGCGGATAATTTTCTTTGTTCGGATTGAGAAACAATTTTCATATTTTACTTGCTGACTCGATGGACTATAGTTTGAATGATTAACCGTACTTCGTTTATCGTTACGTTTTATTTTGTCATTCATAAAGGGGACTGAAGAGGACTTATGTATAAGTTGAAACGTTTCTCATTTTTAATTATAGAATATTTTAATAAAAATTGTCATCATTTAATTTGTTGACTTGTTTTAATACCGTAATTTAATATCATTATTTTCGTTGTTATCATATATTGATTTAAGTCTCGATCATATTGAATCCAAGTTTAATTTTGATCGTGATATGTATTTTGAACACGATAGACAAAACGCCGCCTTCTTTGGAGTGTCCGGCTGAGATCGCCGAGGAGACTGAGAAAGGACAGAGTTACGCGTACGTGAACTGGACGGTGCCTAAGGTGACTGACAATGCAGATGCATCTCCCATCTTGTGGACGAAACCGCACATCGTCCTACCCTGGAAGGCAAAAATCGGTACACGAGTTGTTACGTACGTGGCACAAGACGCGAGCGGCAACAAAGCCAGATGCAAATTTAAAGTTAAAATTCTTGGTAAGCTACAAACGAAGATTTTAACGAAGGCGATATCTAAGATCTGAGAAACGCGTTTCTTCTTCTTCTTACGCCTTTCTGTGGGCATAAAAAGAAAGTCGATAGATAAATCATCGAAAAGAATACAGCGCGAGAGAAATAAAAACTTTGTAAATGTTTGTAGACAGAGAATCACCAACAATCGAGAACTGCATCGATCCACCAATATTCTACACCGATTTCGGTAGCGGTCTCGCGAACGTGACGTGGGACGAGCCAGTCTTCTACGACAATTCAAGGATTGCCGTACGCGTCAATCAAAGCCATCAACCTGGCCAGGATCTCCTCTTTCCAATCGGCCTTACGAAGGTCTTCTATAACGCGACCGACAAGTACAGTAATCGGGCAAGTTGCGTGTTGAATATTACTGTAGAAGGTGCATATCTTTTCATTAATGATTGTATTTAACAATATACAGTTCTCAGAAATTTAATACTACACATGGAAGGTAATGATTAATATTACTTATAGTATAAGTATTAAAATGCATAACTTTGTCCGGTACTTTTAATAAGAAATAATATTACTTATGAAAATTGTATCGTATTTTTCTAGATGTTTGTAAAAGTCTGAAAGCACCCGTAAATGGACGACTGAACTGTTCTTCGTCAAACGATCGCGAAACACAATGCGTCGTAATTTGCGAGGATGGCTATGACTTTGCAATCGAACCAATTAATTTTAATATCGTTAATGACGAATTGCTATTGAAATGTAACTCGAACAATCACATGTGGGATAGTAATCATCTGCCAGAATGTTTAGGTATTTATGTTAAATTTTTCAAAAATTATCATTTGACATTTTCAACTACATGATTATTATTTTTACAAAATGATAATTTCTTCTATCAATTAGAGACGCAAACACCTATAACAACTCAAGAGGGGAATGTAATATTACAAAGCAACGGAAGCACGATATGCGACAATCAAACTACTTTTGGTGAAGTGAGTGTTTAGATTTAATATATAATAATACAATTTAATATTAGAATAAGATTTATAGGAATAGATATACAACTTTTGTATAATGTCTCTTCTAGTTAAGTAAGCATATTACTAACGACTTGAAATCGAAATTCCTGGGAATATGCGATAATAGCATCGAGTGCGATCTTATCATCAGCTTCGACCCTAAGTGCGAAGACAATCTGTCGTTGTCGAAAGATATCGAGGACAACCTAATAAGAAGACGAAGATTCGGGCCCGAATACAAACAAGTTCGATCCATCGATACATTTAAAGATACTGAAACAATATTGTTCAAAAGGTTGAAACGTGTAGCTATAAGACTGAGTCCCGAGCCTAACAAAAATAACACCAGATCTAAACGGAAAAAAAATAGAATAGAGATTAAATTTAAGTTTATAGGTAAGAAATAAATTTCGAATTCCATGAAATGTATCAGATAATACACAAAGAAATACCTCCACAGGTAAAATAATAGAAGAGAACTATGAGAATCCAAAACGAGGAGTGCAGAAGCTTAGAGAGAAGATCGATGCAATGACGCAGGTGGGAAAATTAAACTTGTTTGACAACAGAACCAACCAGGAGATCGCGAAACTCGCTTTGAATCTGCACTTTGTATTCAAGGAACCACAAGACCTTTGCGATCGCGGTAGTGTGCTAAAAAGACACGGTTGTGGTGAGCATGAAAGAAGATAAATATCATCAAGAATGTACCAGTACCAGTTTGGAAAAAAATAGTTTTATTAAAGTATCTAACAATTTAACTAGATACAGATCTACAAATAATATTTTAAACTATCAAAATACTTACACAGAATGCTTAAACTGATTGTTAGAATCAAAAATTTTTTGCAATTTACTTTTATTATCCTTAAATTTCTTACATTATATTATAATAATTTTAATTTAATAAAATTATTTTCAGATTTATGTTTGATTTAATTTTTAGATATTTTCGCAAAATTGTTCTTTTCGTGTAAAAATACATCTCAATTGTAATATTTCCTTTTAGTTAAATGCTCTGCGGGCACTTTCTACAATTCCTCTACTAGAATCTGCCAGCCATGTCCGTTTGGTCAATACCAGGATGCGATCGCTTCATTGACGTGCTTACCTTGTCCGGAATACACCTTCACGAAGAGGATGCACGCGAAATCTTTGAAAGATTGCATTCGTAAGATTTTCAAGTCAAAAATGCGAGACTCGGCATTACAATATGAATATTTCCCTTTCTTTTCCCTATAGCTATATGTCGACCAGGATATTATTCTCGGCGCAAACGCTACCACGGATCACATGTAAGCATGAAGCCTTGTTTCGCGTGCGACTTTGGTTTCTATCAGCCAAACTACGGAGAGAGTCAATGCTTGCCTTGTCCATCGAACGCGACGACGGAAAAACGTGGTTCCATAGATATCAGTGATTGTCTACCGATCCGCGATGAAGAAATCGACGACTGCCGGACAGATCCGTGCTTAAACGGCGGTCAATGTCTACGAGAGGAGAGTGGCTACATTTGCGAGTGTCACGAATATTATGTGGGTATGTTTACTAGTCGTAATCGTGGAACGCGGTAGCATCGTTCTCTCTCAATATTTTTTCCTTGGAAATTTTATAATCTTAAAATAATTAATTAAACAATATAAGAATCTCATTAGACTGTAAATGTGAGTACAAAACCAATAAGAATTCGGAATAGATCTATTAGAGCTCTAAATAAGGTTTATAACGGTCGAAACTGAATCTTTGTTACTTAAATAATTCAATATGAATGATATATATCAGGAGACGCGGTAGTGTTTCCGACCATGTTCAAAAACTAAAAGACACTACAAGTCTCTTATCCCGAGCCATCAAAGTCCATTTTTCGGGGGTGCATAACTACTAAAATATAAAAAATTTTTGAATCGAATATTTAATATTTACACATTAAATAAATGATAAAATATTTAAATCAGCTATCTCACTTACGATTTTAATGAAATTAGGCTCATTCGGCTCGTTCTTCCACTCTTTTCTTTAATTTAACAAATGCATATATTGTAAGCGATGAAAAGTATCGGTTCCCCATGAAGCGTATTTTTCGATATGCGTAGGTTACGAAAACTAATTATAAGATAGAATGTACAACAGAAATTCTAATCAGTAATTGGTTGCATTAGTTCCGCATTTCTCAAAATTCCGCGAAATACGCTCAATGTGAAAGTACGCCGGCTTTCAGAATGGCGTATTCTAGTAAATAAAAAGTAGCGTATTCTAATAAATTACTAGAATAAGCAGGTTACGCTTACGCAAGTTACGCCGCATGTGCTGGCACCCTCAATGTGAGCTACACAATTGTATGCGGAAAAATATCCTGATCGTTATTATCTATTCAGACGTACATTTGATAAACTCGTTGAATCATTTCGCGAAACAGGCAGTGTCGCTCCAGCTAAAAGAAGTCGTCAGAAGACAAAATGTGGCGAAGAAGCGGAAACCTTTGTTTTGGCGTCAGTAGCTAACAATTTAGTTGTCGACAAATCGCTTCTCAATGTGATGTATTTGTCAGTGTTTGGAAAATTTTAAAACGCCACAAATTTCATCCTTATCACATATGCTTACATCAATCTCTTGGTAGCAACAATTTTCAAAATAGGTAAAGGTTCTGCGAATAGGCCCTACACAGTTAGAGTTGTTGTACACCAGGCCAATTTGTTGGCCGGTTCGATCGCCAGATTTTACGCCACTTGACTTTTCTTTATGGAGATATTTAAAAAATCTAGTTTATTGTGATATTTCCACAACACCGGAAAACATGCAAGAAAGAATTCGACGTGCATGTATCGATATCAATCAGAATCATCCGGAAATCATTTTAAAAGTGCGAAACAATAATTTATTTATCTCATTAAAAAATGTATGGAAGTTAATGGCAATTATTTCGAACATCATCTAAAATAAAGTATCTATAAATAAATATCTTCATTGAAAATACTTAAGTATGTCAATTTTTCTTTTTTCCCATATAAATGTGATTTTTTATGTCCAAGATCATCTGCAGGACAACATACCTTATATGGTTAAATTTGTTTTTTTATGAACTTTAAAAAAATCGCGATGACCTCGAAATCTCAAAAACTATGACCTAGAGAAAAAATTTTCGCTCGTTACAATCGAACAACTTTTCCCTGTAGTATTTTTCCGTATCATCAAAAACAACGGAGATATTTTAAATGGTCGAGTTAGGGAGGAAACATCCTGTACATATATATGTATATATATATATATATGTGTGTATATCATTCATATTCATATACACATGCGTTGTATACCATAATTTTTTTGCAGTTATTTCGAACTACACGTCGAAAATTTTTTCGGATTTAATTAATTAAATATAATTAATAAAAATAATATGTGTAGAAGGGCTACGAGCCAGAAAACAATAATAAAATATTTTTAATAATTTTAAAAACATTTAATATAAGACAAAAATTCGAAAGGTACATAGAAAACGCAAACAAAAGTTAGACTAAGAATTAAATATAAACAATAAAATATAACAGACGTTTCGACCTCTCTTAGGTCATTTTCAATGTTTAAACGTGTAAAATATATTAAAAATTATGCATTACATATAAAATTTTCCAAAAAAACTAAAATGCGAGATGGTAGCATTTTTAACGATGTTTTTCGTCACATAGTGTCGTTGTTGCGAGTATTAAAATAATTGTGTAGAAGTTACCAACTTTAATATAGAGGTGTCAAGTTTTTTAATAAGTCAATGGATAAATCTTCTCCTTTTCTTCATTGTCGGGTAGTTCATCATTATAGCAAGTCTCATGGATAGTATGCCAATAAGAAAGTCATTCTCATGAACAGAAATGGTGAGATTGTAATGCGGAACTACAATTGTACAATATAAAATAATAGAAGTTATACTACACAATACAAATCCAGATACCACATAAATTCACATTCGTTCGACATATATAAATACCTATTTTATATGAAAATGACTTCAATATTAGCAATCAATGTTGTTGAATCGTCCGTATAATATTAGAATAAAATCAAATAAAACATTGAATAAATTTAATTGGTTATAGAAACTTAAAACAGCGATATGGAACAAATGTTGTCACATGAAGACGATATAAACTAATGATGACTTTTAGAAAAACATATTGGAGAAGGAGAATTGTAAAAAGGGATATAATGTTGTAGGAGAGAAGGAAGAAAAGGACAAGGGGAAATTAAGAGGGAGAAAGAGATTGTATTATTTGAGAATAGGTGTCTGGCAAATTTTCGGTATCATTTTGTTTATTTATGCCACGTTTTTGCTTTTTAATGTGGATCATTTCAGATATTAGTCTTTTATAGTAAGAAGCTTTATTATCTAAAATTTTTACTTCATTCCATTTGAAATTGTGACTCAAGCTTGTGCGATGGTCGGATATGACTGATGGAGAACCAATTCTTTTTTTAATGTCAGAGATGTGATCACAAGCTTGAGTCACAATTTCAAATGGAATGAAGATAACAATTTTAGATAATGAAACTTCTTACAATAAAAGACTAATATCTGAAATGATCCACATTAAAAAGCAAAAACATGGCATAAATAGACAAAATGATACCGAAAATTTGCCTATTCTCAAATAATACAATCTCTTTCTCCCTCTTAATTTCCCTTTGTCCTTTTCTTCCTTCTCTCCTACAACATTATATCCCTTTTTACAATTCTCCTTCTCCAATATGTTTTTCTGAAAGTCATCATTAGTTTATATCGTCTTTATGTGACAACATCTGTTCCATATCGCTGTTTTAAGTTTCTATAACCAATTAAATTTATTCAATGTTTTATTTGATTTTACTCTAATATTATACGGACAATGTTCAACAACATTGATTGCTAATATTGAAGTCATTTTCATATAAAATAGGTATTTATATATGTCGAACGAATGTGAATTTATGTGGTATCTGGATTTGTATTGTGTAGTATAACTTCTATTATTTTATATTGTACAATTGTAGTTCCGCATTACAATCTCACCATTTCTGTTCATGAGAATGACTTTCTTATTGGCATACTATCCATGAGACTTGCTATAATGATGAACTACCCGACAATGAAGAAAAAGAGAAGATTTATCCATTGACTTATTAAAAAACTTGACACCTCTATATTAAAGTTGGTAACTTCTACACAATTATTTTAATACTCGCAACAACGACACTATGTGACGAAAAACATCGCTAAAAATGCTACCATCTCGCATTTTAGTTTTTTTGGAAAATTTTATATGTAATGCATAATTTTTAAAATATTTTACACGTTTAAACATTGAAAATGACCTAAGAGAGGTCGAAACGTCTGTTATATTTTATTGTTTATATTTAATTCTTAGTCTAACTTTTGTTTGCGTTTTCTATGTACCTTGCGAATTTTTGTCTTATATTAAATGTTTTTAAAATTATTAAAAATATTTTATTATTTGTTTTCTGGCTCGTAGCCCTTCTACACATATTATTTTAATGTATTGAGCCATACTATTTATATTAATTTTATAATTAATAAAATTATTAACGATAATATAAGTTTTTAATGTGGTTTAGTAATAAACAATAAAGGAATTAAAAATGAGCATATACCACGACGCTGGATAGATTTAGTGAAATTATATTATATTTCGTAGAATATTAAAACGAAATTTTTATTATTATTAGTAAACGATTCGGCCTTATTAATAATAAAATTATTAAATTATTAAATTTTATTATTAATAATTAATAATTTTTTTATTTTATCCTAAAATAAAATTAACATGTTTTTCCGCTATGCGCGTGCGGATTTATGATATTTTTTCAGTATCAAAATGCGAGAAGTTCAAGGATCCATGTGACTCCTCACCATGCTTAAACGAGGGAACGTGTACAACACAGCAGCATCCGAATAATTCCATAACGTACGAGTGTGCGTGTAAAAGCAGTTACACGAGTAATAACTGTGAAGTAAGATAATATTTACAAAATTAAATATCTACAATGAAACAAAATCCGGATTAAAGCCCAATTCCACATAATACAAAATTAACTTTAATCTCGGTTTAATTTACTTCTTTTTATAATTTTGCAATTGAAAACAGATGGAGAGTAAGTTGATTAGAAATTAAAGTTAATTTTATATTTGTCTCAAACCCGGCCTAAAAAAATAGACAAAATAATTCTTATAGATTTATGTGGATGAATGTTATACCAATCCCTGCCAGAATGGTGGAAAATGTATGAGCACCGAGAATGATTTCAATTGTGAGTGCAGAGACGGATTTGAAGGTAATATTTTTTTATTATATAAATAACTATTAATGAAAAATGTTATTCTAGTAGCACAATTTATTGGCATAATGTTGGTCTAATATGATTCAATGTATCCCCAATGCATACCAACGTTAATGCCATTGTATCGCCAATAAATTGCTTCTACAGGGTAATAACCCAGCTAGCAAGCTCATGTGATAATGACGTGATTATGAAGTGATTTTGATGACAATGCCGTCAAGTGACATAAATGGAACGTTATTTTGACGTCATTTGTAATATCAATTAAAGTTGACGTCACCGATATGACGTCAGCTAGATGTTACATTGACGTCATATATATGACCATTACTAATCAATTATTTTTTGTTATTATTTGTGTATTATTATTTGATATGTCATTTTATCCTTTAATATTCGATGAAAAACAAGGATAAAATGATACGTCATGCGCGTTACACTTGCGGAAATGATACATACACTAACACATACACTATCATATAAACACATAAACCATCTGTTTTTAATATTTCCACTGAACAGATATATCACAATTATACAGACATTGACATATACAGATTCGTGGGTCATCGAAGTACAGCAGTTTCCGTACGATTGTCAAGGTTAAGCATGCGAGGTCGTGGTACAACTTCGGATGGGTGACCGTTTGGGATGCATCATGAAAAAAAATTAATTCTCGAATTTAGAGAAAAAATTTTTTTCTCGATTCATTCTAAAGTTGATGCTACTTTATAGTAATACTTATTTTAACAATCTAGCAGTAATTAGGGAAAACTGACCGGTATTCTACTTAAATTTCTACACGAAGTATACATATACAAATTTACTACTGCATTATTGCACTATATATAGTAGTGATACTAATAGTACTTTTTAGTCATATTTACCAGGTATATGCATATGAAAGTGGATTTTACCATAGATGGTCATAGTAGATCAATGTAGTTATCGTCAGAGTACGTCATTGACGCCATTTCTTTATTCTGACATCTGACAAAGATTTTCAACTCACAACAATACAAGTTTCATACAACAGTATAGTTTGTAATAGCGTTGAACATGTCGAATTTTGCGCCTAGAAACTACGATTTGCGGACAGCAATCGATTTTCTGTTACCATTTGAAAATAACTGCTGCAGAATCGCATCCAATGCTTGTCGAAGCTTACGGTGAGCATGCTCTTGGTAAATCACAGTGCTTTGAGTGGTTTAAAAAATTCAAAAGTGGCGATTTTGACGTGAGAAACAAAGAACGTGAAAAACCACCGAAACCTGCTAAAACCTGCTAAAACCTGGCGAAACCGTTAATACTGAACGCTACCGACAACAAATGATCAATTTGAATCAAGCTTTGCTTGAAAAACGACCGGAATATCAAAAAAGGCAACACAAAGTGATTTTGCTTCATGATAATGCACCATCACACACAGCAAAACAGGTCAAAGAAACGATTGAGACGTTTGATTGGGAAATACTTTCGCATGCCGCTTACTCACCAGACTTGGCTCCGTCCGATTACTACTTACAAGGGAAGTATCACAACTGTCCGACTCCGATTTGATTCTCCATGAAATATGTTGTTAAGCACGAAAATCTAAGAGACACGTATTTTTTTATACGTGCCCTAACTCATGTTTAAGATATAGAAAAATTTTTTAAACAAAAGTTGTACAGTTTCAAGAGTACTTTAAAAATACAAAGAAAAAAAATTTTTTAATTTTTTCGTTTAACAAAGTACCCCTACCACCCATAATTTTTTTAAATTTTCATATTTTTTCTTTACCAAATTATAGATTATTTTTTTACGAATTCAACCATGTGTAATAAAGTTATATTACAACATACCATTTTCGAGAAATAATTATTAACGCTTCCGTATATACGTTATCCATGTTCATATTCGTATAAGTAATTGTCGTCGAAACAATGAGATACATGAAAAGATAGTTTAAGTAAAATTTTCTTTAAGTATAGTTTTCTATATGCTTTATGAATGTATACATGTATTGAGATTTTCTGAATATGTAATATTCTTAAAATATATAGTACGGGGTGTTTCATTTTAATCCGACCACGCAGGTACCTCTGTCAAAATGAATGATATCAAAAAATGGCCTCTACAAAAGTTGAAGGGGACAGAGGGGGCTACCCAATGGTACCAACAACCTTGACCTTGAATTTGATTTTCAAGGTCATTTGAAGGTTGAAGTGGTATTTTTAAATGGGAACCCCTATTTTTAACCCCGGAATCGTGTAGAGCGGGAAAATTTACGTCTGTAATGACATTTCAAGTTTGCTTTAGTGACCTTTTTTCAAGGTCAAATGCTTAAAAAATTACATAAGAGCTGTTATTTTCAAATTTTTGGTAGAATAAACGTTGTGAAGATAATTTTATAAGAATGATTGATTTTAACTGTAAAAACAGTTATGCTGTCTTTTCAAGGTCATTTAAAGATCAGCGTGGTTATTTCGACACATAACTATTAATTAAGGATCCGAAAGTGGAAAAATTTACCATTAAAACGTAACAACGTTCTTGATCTTATCATCGGTGCCCAAGGTTATGTTAAGGTCACATTTTTATCCTATCTTTAGCATTACCCAGGGACAACGACGTGGACGTAATAGGGGGTGTTTTCCAACAACGTACACAGATGACACAGTGTAACACTGTGTCTTACACAAAGTGTTCCAACTGTAACACAGTGTTACACTGCTCGACACTGTAAAAAGCTAAGTACGAACGTGTAGAGTATGCCAGTGTTACCAATTAGAGCTCTATCGTTCCAACAAGTCTTTACATAGTGGAGCACAGTGTAACGTTTCTGTGTCCTAGCTGGAAAACAGCCAGGATTATGTCCCCTTTGGGGTGCTTGATTACAGTGAGTCCCCTTGCCTCTCACTTTTCGGGGTGCTTGATTAGAGTGAGTCCCTTTGCCTCTCACTTTTCGGGGTGCTTGATTAGAGTGAGACTCCTTGTCTCTCACTTTTCGGGGTGCTTGATTAGAGTGAGTCCCCTTCCCTCTCAAGTGAGAGGCAAAGGGACTCACTCTAATCAAGCACACCAAAGGGGACATAATCCTATTACGTCCACGTCGTTGTCCCTGGGTAATGCTAAAGATAGGATAAAAATGTGACCTTAACATAACCTTGGGCACCGATGATAAGGTCAAGAACGTTGTTACGTTCTAATGGTAAATTTTCCACTTTCGGATCCTTAATTAAAATCGGATCATTAATTAAAAGTTATGTGTCGAAATAACCACGCTGATCTTTAAATGACCTTGAAAAGACAGCATAACTGTTTTTACAGTTAAAGTCAATCATTCTTATAAAATTATCTTCACAACGTTTATTCTACCAAAAATTTGAAAATAACAGCTCTTATGTAATTTTTTAAGCATTTGACCTTGAAAAAAGGTCACTAAAGCAAACTTGAAATGTCATTACAGACGTAAATTTTCCCGCTCTACACGATTCCGGGGTTAAAAATAGGGGTTCCCATTTAAAAATACCACTTCAACCTTCAAATGACCTTGAAAATCAAATTCAAGGTCAAGGTTGTTGGTACCATTGGGTAGCCCCCTCTGTCCCCTTCAACTTTTGTAGAGGCCATTTTTTGATATCATTCATTTTGACAGAGGTACCTGCGTGGTCGGATTAAAATGAAACACCCCGTACTATATATTTTAAGAATATTACATATTCAGAAAATCTCAATACATGTATACATTCATAAAGCATATAGAAAACTATACTTAAAGAAAATTTTACTTAAACTATCTTTTCATGTATCTTATTGTTTCGACGACAATTACTTATACGAATATGAACATGGATAACGTATATACGGAAGCGTTAATAATTATTTCTCGAAAATGGTATGTTGTAATATAACTTTATTACACATGGTTGAATTCGTAAAAAAATAATCTATAATTTGGTAAAGAAAAAATATGAAAATTTAAAAAAATTATGGGTGGTAGGGGTACTTTGTTAAACGAAAAAATTAAAAAATTTTTTTTTTTTTGTGTTTTTAAAGTACTCTTGAAACTGTACAACTTTTGTTTAAAAAGTTTTTTTATATCTTTTATACTTCCGACGATATTCGCCTCGAAAGAAAAATACCGTTTTTTTTCAAAGGGGTGTTTCACCCCTTAAACATGAGTTAGGGCACGTATAAAAAAATACGTGTCTCTTAGATTTTCGTGCTTAACAACATATTTCATGGAGAATCAAATCGGAGTCGGACAGTTGTGATACTTCCCTTGTTAGTATTATTCGTTTTGTCTCTCGGGAGCTGCTCGGAGTCGCTCTGAATAAACCCAGCGTACTCGGATGTGATCCATTTAATACTGCAAATGCTTCGTTGATCAATCAGAAGAAAAAATTTTACGAATTGATCAATCAAAGTATGTTTTGAGGTATCTACAACATTAAATAGACCGCATCCAAGTATGCTAGGTTCATTCGGAGCGACTCTGAACAGCTCTCGAGAGACAAAACGAACGATACTCTTATTTGCATCGATGGGACACGCACTTGCTCAGCAGCGCTTCACTTCTTACGAAGATGTACGAAAATGGCTAGATGACTGGTTTGACTCAAAAGAGCAACAATTTTTTTGGCGTGGCATCCACAAATTGTCAGACAGGTGGCAAAAATGTATAGCTAGCGATGGGAAATACTTCGAATAAAATATTTTTTATCATTTTCATGCAATAAAAATAATTTTCATGCTGCCACCACCAATTTTGTTGTACCTCTCGGTGCAACAAGATATTATTTTGGGATTCGATCCGCTCAAAGGGTTGGAACCCACGAGGAAAGACGAGGATAGTAAAAGGTCGTGGAACAAACACTCACTTCACCACACTTCTATTTAAAATAACCCTTTTTATTTAACAATTTGATAGTTGATTACAAATGTTGTACCCCTTTATTTATATAATTATTTATTACTAAAGATTACAATGCTTTTTAGTAACTGTAACTTTCATTTAATTAATACAGTTGTTTAGTTAAATGAATATAGTTTAAAGTTATCGCTCGTGACTTATGAGTAAACCGGTCGGCGACGGTATCGCGGATGTTACTTGACTCGGTTCTCGCGACGCGCGTAACGTATCGTTACGTTTAGATTTCAAGACAAGACTCTGCGCTCGGCATTTAGGCGGTCGCTTATATTGAGTTTGATGATGTCGCTTTTGGTCTTCGATCGGACCATATATGGTAATATTCGTCGCGCTAGAGGCGCGATCGCGTGATTAAAGAATGTGCAATCTTGCACTTCCGCTGTCGGTTACCATGCCGAGTGCATTTAGGTATTTCGCGCGCTATGATCTTCGATCGACGCTTTGTCGCGCGCGGTTTAAAGAATGTGCAGACTTGCATTTCCGGTGCCGGTTGCTATGCCGGTTGAAATGAAATAATTGATAAAATAAGTGATAGCCATTCGGGCTATAACATGTGTATTTTCTATTAAAAAAATCCACTTTCATATGCATACACCAGACACCTGGTACGTCTCCCTGACGTAATAATATAACGTCAATAAGATGTGACATAATCACGTGATATATACACGTCAGAATAATGTTACTTTTATGTCATAATTGACGTTATTTGTACCAAAAATTCACGTCATTATCACGTGACCTTTCTCTAGCTGGGAAGTATAATTTTTTGTCTTTAATAGCTTTTATTTTATTAATAATACTAACAGTGAGAGATTTTTCTGCCTCTATATATGGGTCTTATTTAGGTCAATTCTGCGAGGTTTCGATGGATCATTGTGAGCACATGCCCTGTGAGGAGGGATCCGCGTGCCGTACTGTGAACGGTACCTGGCAATGCCTCTGCAAACCCGGTTTCCTGGGCCGACATTGCAATCTGTTACCTTGTGACTGGCTGCCATGCCACGTGAATGCGATTTGCGTCAATGTCAAAGTGGAGAACGCAACGCGAAAGAGTTACAGGTAGATAATTCACGTAATATTTTATGCTGCGAGATATGAGATCAATGTTTATAAATGATTGTCCAGGTGCGAATGTCCCGACGGATACATAGGAGAGGATTGTGCGACCAAGATCGATCACTGCGAGACCTCACCCTGCTTGAACAACGGGCGTTGCATCAACTTCGTTCACGATTATGTCTGCGAATGCCCGATTCCTTTTACAGGACGCGACTGCGAAACTGGCAAGTTAAGACTTTAGAATAATTCTAGAATACTTTTTTTTTTAACTTTGTTAACTTTTTTAAGTTTATAATTCAAGAGATATAAGGTATTTATGAAAAGTTATTTTGACAGAACTATCGTCCGATTATGTAATGCACTTCACCAAGTCCGGTACAACAGATTATGTAGCCGTCAAAGGACCTGTAAAAAATCTTCTCCAGGTAAGTAAAAAAATTGAAAAAATTGTAATAGATAGTTTTATCGAATTCATCAATTCGGCAGCTGTCCGTTTGCCTATGGTTGCAATCATTGGATACTTTCAATTATGGTACAATATTATCATACGCAACGATGTTTTACGACAACGCCTTCACACTGACGGATTATAACGGGTAATTATTGTAGAAGTTCAGAACATGGAAAGAATGATTTTGCAGAAGCAACTAACAATTTAAATACATATAGACTATAGAGGATGTTCAAATTGGTTGTTAAAATGTCAAAACTTTTTTTAAGATGACTCATTATGCTTCGAGTGTATTTCTTACATAATTCAGCACAATTTTTTTCAGATCTATATCTACCCAAAATTTTTTAAATACATATTTCAACAAAATTGTTCTTTCTGTATATGTGTGCTTAGTGAAGAATTTAACCAATAATTCCATCTAATGCGAATGCTGGCACGTAGTGTTAGATTGCGAGGGAATTCTCCCGGGTTAAATATTGTTGCAGATTGGTTTTGTACATTAATGGGGAGAAAATCGTCACCGACATTAAAGTCAACGATGGTAACTGGCACTTTCTATGCGTTACTTGGGAAAGCGACCGTGGCTCCTGGCGTATATTCGTCGATGGAATCCTTAAAGACAGCGGCGTCGGTTTGGCTCAGGAAGCCGTGGTGCAAGGTAATAACACGTGTAACCGTCAAGAATTCGTATACCTAAAGTAAATTATAAACTCCCGGACATCGTCCCATCCAGCCAACGGATCCCTCATTATCGGGCAGGAACAGGATCGCCTGGGTGGTGGTTTCTCTGAATCGGAGGCGTTCCTGGGGAGACTCGGCTTATTGGACATATGGGACGTCATTTTGAACGAGAGTAATGTCACGAAACTATGGACCACCTGCGAGAAGTATCACGGAAACCTCGTGTCCTGGGTACAGTTGCGGCAGTACATTCACGGTGACGTCGTGGTAATTATACGTTAATTATCAAGCTACAATCCAAAGCACAAATCAGTATAACATCAAAATGATTTCAAAATGAATCACTGTGAAAGTCACTTTTCAATCATTTTAATTATTTACGATTCATTTTAATATTATTTTGATATTATTGTAACTTGTTGTTTTGCGCTTGGGAAAGCCCTTTCTTTTTCGGATTCACCGATGGACCATATTATAAGCGATGTGATTGATATCTCTGTCTTTAGATTTTAGCCAGTTCGTTTTGTCACGGCTGTCCTATGCCCGTAGTGCCTTTCCAGGGTAACATTAAAGTGAGCGAGGATTTGTCTGAGGTAACATACTACTGCGATAATGGATACGTAGTTCGATTCGGCAATGAAGAATACCGATCCCTCAGAAGAAAATGCCTCAAGCATGGCCAGTGGGAGGGATACGACATACCGATCTGCATCAGTAAGTTCTAATTTCCTTATTGTGATCGTATTATAATACAAAGAAGAAAGCGTGAAATAGAACTGATTTGACCGCGAAATCTAAATGATTCTGATTTCTTGTTCGAAGAAATAAAATGCGGCTTCCCGGGATATTTTCCGCGCGGACGTATTCACGGAGAATCATATTTGTTCGAAGACGAGATATATTATTCTTGTAACGAGGGCTACGAACTCCGCGGCAACCCTCATCGCATTTGCAATTTCGACGGAAAATGGAATGGATTGCCTCCGATCTGCATAGGTAACGATCGTATTAGGAGTACAAATTAGTTCGGTCCGTTTTCCAAAAGATGATCGCCTGCAAAGACGAGTCATTTTTTCAAGATGGAATTCGAAAATTGCCTGAGAGATGGAAAAACGTAGTAGCCAGCGATGGACAATACTTTAATTAATCTGTTCATTCATTTTGTTTTGAAATAAATGCATTTTTGAACACAAAAACGGACCGAACTAATTTTGTAAACTTAATATTTAAATTATATTTGCTGTTCTGTTCTATTTGATCTAAATAAATGTAATTCATTTTCGTAATAATATTTCAAGAACTTTTTTCTCTAGTATTTAATAATTGTTTTTTTTATGAAAAATCTTCTTTCTGTGAAAGTCTTTTTTACAGCTTTAATTTTAATTATATTAACGATCGCACAATGCATTTGAACAGAACAGCAAGGTTAATATATGAGTCCAGATTCAACGATTTTAACAGCTGCATTCTTCAACAGGAACGACGTGTAAAAATCTACTCGCCCCAGAAAATGGAGACATAGAATATATATTAGAGGAAAACGAGAGAGACGATGTCACAATATTACAGGTACATACACATTAGATGCTTTTCATTTGATAACACAAATGTCGTTCTATCTTTATCACTCTCTAAATATCAAGAAAGATAGAACGATCGACTATGTTGACTTGTCATCAAAAGAAAAGCATCCATTGTTGTCATTCACGAAAGAAACATCGCGATGTTGAAATGTCCTATATTTTATATATGTTCAATTATTTCAGGCTGGCCAGCAATTGGAATTCAAGTGTAATCCTGGATACCGTTTAATGGGAGAGAGGTATTTGACCTGTCTAGATACTGGCATCTGGGATCATAAAAGACCGTCTTGCACGCCTTATGGATGTTCCTTACCGAAACAGTGCGTCTTTCAAAATATTCTCTGAAACTTTTAGAGTGAATTATTACTCCAAAGAGTAAAAACTCATTCTTAAAGATTGAGTCACTTTTTTTTACATGATTGGCCCAATTTTCATAATCTTTAGAATGAATTAAATATATAAATAAAGGACTCTTAGTATTGAAAAAATATAATAAATAGGTAAAAGACTAATAAGAGTCAAACATAAAATTGAAAATTGTATCAACACAAATATATTGACTTAACTGTATATAAAAAATTGACATAAAAATTAAATCAAAATTTAATTAAAAAATGCCAATATGAGCCGACACTGGATGATAATGTGTATTAAATATTTCTTTATTGTAAAAATTGGATATACGTTTCGATCTCTGCTTGAGATCCTCTTCAGTACATTGGAAAGTTAAAATAATAAATGATGTTATAAAATTTGAAGAATTAAATATGCAATAATTAACATTGTCCAATAGTCTAATCTCGTTCACTAAAGTGCTCAATTTAATGAAGACGAGTTAAAATTTAGACTGGTGGAAACGTCGCTACATATTAAGTATGTCTCACACAAATCCATTTAGTTATTCCGCAAAATAGATTGTTAAAACACAATGTACATATTGAAGTGTTACAGTGGTTAAGTTTTTCCATTTTTAATTTTGATTTATTCTTCTGAGCCTCTAATTATTACTTAATTTGATAAAAATTAAACATTAATAAAATATGTAATGTGTTGAATAATAAACAACCATATTATTATAATAATAAAAAGCGCATACTTAAGTATTTTTTATGTCAATGTTTTGTATACAGTTAAGTCAATATATTTGTGTTGATACAATTTTCAATTTTATATGTTTGACTCTTATTAGCCTTTTACCTGTTTATTATATCTTTAGAATAAGATTTCAAGAATTTGAAAAGTACATATACCTTTCGTGTGCTTAAAGATACTTTTTTATTTAAAAAAATTATGAATTTGCCCAAAAATATAGCAGTTTCGTTTAACAAATATTTGAAAATTGTCTAACATTTTGTGAGTGTAGAATAGAGCATGGTTACATCATCTCTTCGAATTTTGGTCAGACCTCCATTCGCAATCTCGAACGTATGATCGACGATCCCTCCAAAAGAATATATCGCTATAACGACATTGTTGGATTCTCTTGTCATCGCGGTTACAAGTTTCACAGTAATCATAATGTGACGGAATTCAAGCTGCAATGTTCCGCGAATGGCACTTGGACAGGCTTTGTTCCCAACTGCATTCCGCGCACGTGTCCCTGGCCGGATCGCGTAGCAAATGCGAGAATCTTCCTCAAGAAACGAGACAATATCACGATCGAAACTCCGATAGAAGAGAACGTTACATGGAAATCCGATCGAAAAAGAAGTAATGAGAGCGACGCGAAAAGCAGCATCTCTCCGGAAACGTTTGTTTCCGGTGCAGAAATAGTTATTGTCTGTGATCCGGGATATGAACTAGTCGGGGACCCGACCAAAACGTGTACCGAGGAGGAGAAATGGTCTTCGACTTCCACTTTTTGCAAACAGCGTAATTATTCAATCGAGAAACATCCAATTTTTAAATTTTTTAAAAAACTGAGTAACGAAACCAACTTGGAGAACAGCAACATAGACTTGACATCGTTCGAATTAGATGAAAAACGGTACAGCAAAGAAAACGTTACGCACCAATACAAAGATTTCGACATTTTTGTCGAAAAAAACGGTTACGAGCGACGGATAGTTTTAACGTGTCGAAATGGTGCACAAATGAATCTTCACAAATTAATTCCCAACAAGATGATTTCTAATATAACATGGACGTGCAATAATAAGACCGCAAAATGGGAAGTTTCAAATCCGTTATTGAAAGAGTCCATCCTCGAGCAGTTGCTGAATGATTCGACAGACACCTGCAATAAATCGTGTGCACCTCCACAAGTAAGTTTTGTGAAAACATCAATAAGATAATATCAGTTTCAACAGAAAAGAATAAAAAAATAATTAATATGCATTTCTACCAATGTATAAATTAATTTACTCTTAATTTTTTTCTTACTCTTAGAAAAGATAAGTTAAACTGGGAGTAAAATTAATCTACATTGGGAGAAACAGGCACAAGTATTCCAAATTAATAATAATAATACAAGGAAACGTACATACGCTTTTTCTTTTCGTACAATATTTTCGAGCTTCGCATATTTGTAGGATAAAATTCTAATTAATTTCAGATACCGGAGTATGGATACATCGACGGAAACAACACTGACAACGTTAACAATCGCAGGACGATTAACAGCGTCGTCATTTTTAAATGTCGTCACGGATATATTCTTGAGGGTGACGAGCAATCTATTTGTTTATCGGACACTAGATGGTCCGCTTTGCCTTCTTGCAAACGTATGTTTCTTCTCTTAAAGTCGTCTGCAAAGGTTCTAATATCTATTTTCATCAATAGGAGTTTAATTTCAGTTTAACTAAATCTTCACTTGTTCTACTTCTATAAGAATTAGAAAAAAGATAAAGAGAAATCAAACCAAAGTAAAATTTAATCTATCTTGATAGAAACATTAGACATCTTTAAGTTCGTATGTTGAATACTTCCAGCTGTTGTATGCGGAAAACCGCCAATTCTCGCTAACGCAGTGCTAAAGAGTGACGTGGACAAAACTCAGAATTATACTTTCGGCAATATGATCTCTTATCAGTGTGTTCCGGGCTATCGTGTATTCGGACAGACGAATCTAAGATGTTTAGGAAGTGGAAAGTGGTCTAGACTGAATGGCAGATGCTCCAGTACGTATATGTAAAAAAAAATTGCGACTCTTGTCATCAAGAGACACTATATACGTATACATATACTTAAATAGCATCGTTATCGTTTACAGAAATATCATGTGGCAAACCACAGATCCAGCGCGAAATCGTACTCTATGGTCATTCCTACTTGTTTCAAGATCAATTGATATATATATGTCCTGATGATAAGAAGCGAGGAATAATTACGTGTCAAGCCGACGGGAAGTGGAACGAGTTGCCAAAATGTGACAGAAGTAGGAGCATGTAATTCAGAGTAGTTAAAATCAAAGGATTTAGTATAACGCCTCGTAAAAAGAAAAATCTCCACCTTTTTGTAACAACACACATGCTTTTTTTATTTCTTTGTGACCTCTTGTATCAAGACTCATGAATGTAATATAGAAAACGTAATTGCGCAGTCTTATCACGAAATAAATAATTCAGTTTTGGAATTTCCGGAGTAGTACATTTGGATATGCGGCAATACCTTATCTACAATTATTTATGCGCGATTTATCGTAATCTTTAACTTTAAGATATTGTACTTCGGGTACATACTTTTATCGTCTCTTTTTTGTTTTTTTTTTTACTGAAAAAGTTGGTGTATATCGATACAAATAATTCTTATCTCAAAAATTGGCATTGTTAAGCTTGCACGTTCATGTAAGACAGTTCATACTGGCCGTGAGAAATACTTCGTAAATTTAATTGTACGTTTTGTTCGTGTTTCGTGCATAACACATAACGACAAAAAAATTTAATTTTGTAAGAACGTATAACGGTGTTGTGGATAAAGTACTTCCTACACATATCGTTTGACACCGTATTTATGTTTTGGTTCGAACATATCGTACAAATATATTTGCATATTACTACACTACCTGAGGAAGAGCAATAAAGATAAATAAAGATAAATAAAGATAAATACTGTGAAAATAATTTTTTTATAAACGATGTATATTAATTTATACCTAATGATGTCATAAAATGGAGCACCTTTGATAAAATAGATCCATTAGCATGGCTATCGTAAGGAAAAATCAGATTACTAATGCACATGTCCTTCGAAATTATTGATATAAAAATGTTGCGTAACAAAATTTGTCTATTATCGTTTGTCTCTCATGCTAATTCTCGTTTATACTCTATTACATTTAATGGAAACTAAATGTCTGCCAAAGAGACTGTCATTAAAGACAAACATTTCCAGAACAAAGCTGTACGCAAATCGTATATTGACACGGATAATACATATCCTAAATGCTGTAAACAATTCTTCCGTAGATTGAAGAAAGAACTTTTAGCCATCCTAACTTAATTGCTTGTCTAAATTAAAGATAATCCTTCAGAGTTCCGTCTTTGAGCTGCTGCTAAAGTATTTAGGTTTGAGCTCTTCAATCCGCTTAATAAAGTCCGTCTTCTCTATACAACCGTCACATGTCTCTTCCCAATCATTTAAAATCTTTTTTAAGTCACGTACCTTCAGCTTCTTCAGATTTACCGTATTGAGATCAATTTGTTTCTCTAAAACAAAAATAGCAATATAACAATGTTGAAATAATCAGCATTACAACAAGAATGAAGAAAACGCACAAATGTTGTACATACCGAATCTTAAATCACATATTTGAGCATCTCTCTTCTTTAATTTCTCGCATATCTTGTCTGCAGGCATAGACCACGATAGTGGTTTACTGAGTTCACCTAAAATACCAGTGGCAGATTCTTCTAATCCACCTAAATAATAACACTGGAAACACATACAGTTGCGATTATTTTAAACAATTGACCGAGGAAACATTTGTATTTATTTTGTCCACACACTCAGACTTACAAATCTATTTTCTTTTGATTTAGTGCCTTTACAGAATTCTCGGAATTTTTCTTCAATCTTCTTGGGTTCACTTTTAATGTCTGCCATTAGTGTCTGACTAAATTTATCCACAACGGCGACACATACTACAAAATTAGATAAGAAGTGTCATAAGAAACATGTACAAACTTCCTTTATACATATACATACATATATATATATATATATATATATAAAGACAAATGTCAAAGAGATTCTCACCTTCGCAATCACCTTCTTTTAATGCTGTAACAGCACACACAATTCCAAGAAATACAGAAAATATTAGTGACATTGACATATTCATCTTCCTGTTTTATTGAGTTCTGTTAATTAAAAACAATTTTTAATCGTTAAAATGTAAATATTAAACATGTGTTATCATATGACTATTATATAAATAAAAAGATATTTTTTAGTTGAACTTTCTGCTTCATTTATATTTCCTCTTTTTTTCTCCAACTTTTTCTATGTGTAGAGAAAAAGAGACGAGATAAATCATGCAAGAAGTTAAACAATCTAAACATATTTTAAACATGTTTATCTGTCACAAACAATACAAGAAAAAATCAATTAAAGTGATCCTTCGCAATGTTATGAATTTTCATTACTAATTCAAATCAATCAGAATTTAATTTAAAAAATTCTAATTTAAAAAAAACGAAATCACAACATCCCTATTACTCGGAGTGTCCTCGAAGACGCGCTAGAAGAAACGTTTCAAGCTTTCAATTTCACTGAGACTTTTAGATATGGTTTGGATTACGGTGGTCGGATGATAAAAGAACAAAGGAGTTGCGAGAATATCGATGAAAAAAACCGCGAAATGACAAATATTGAAACATAAATGTCTTCGATGAACTAGATTTAAGGTTACTTCAGGTTACTCACGGGCGCGTGCTACATACCGTTGCGATCAGATTGAAAATTGACGTATTCCCAATGCAAAGCCTCCGTCGTTCGGTAGATGGGCAACGCGCGGTGACTTTAATACACACGCTCGATTCCTCGAAATATCCTGCAACACGTCCACCGCCGTCGTTCACATTCGAGTTTCGCGACACGTTGGATTCTGTCAAAAACACGGAATTCCAGCTGGCGCGTGCCGATTGGTCGTGATGTCATCGCAGGCCGCACGCACCATGCGATGAGTAAAGGCGGGTTCACACCTTGACTGAAAAACAGAAAGCGGAAAAGCAGTAGCCAATCAGGTAGTCGACTTTCTGTTAGTTTTGTACTATTTACTACCAGCACGAGTTTTGATCGGTTAACTGCTCTTCCGCTTTCCGCTTTTCCGTCAAGGTGTGAACCCTCCCTAAGGCTGGAGTCACATTGAGCGGAAATTACAGCGGAACGGAACAGTGAAACCAATCAGAACTCTACAATCATTCCGCTACTTTACTTTCTGCGATTGTGATTGGTCCGCTGTTCCGTTCCGCTGTAGATTTCCGCTCAATGTGACTCCAGCCTAAGGGTGATTTTACATGCAGCGCGGAACGCGGTACGCAGTACGCGGTAGGCAGTAAAGTAACTAGGAATCGCGCGCGATAAGCCGCGCTAATTTTCTCCTACTATCAACCAAAACTGCCCGGAAAAGCGGCACGGACTAGTGACAAGTTGACGTTACTATGCACTTTTTAATGAAATTAATAGATTTAAATGCAATTATTAAGCATATTCGTTGAAAAAATAAGATTATTGATAAAATGTGCATAGAAATAAGTTAATACATTTAAGAAAATGCATACAAATGTGAACTTGTCACTATACCGTGCCGTCTTTCCGCGTTCCATGAGTCAGGGTGCAGTCACATGGAGTCAGAAATAACGGAACGGAACAGTAACGGAACATTGATAGAAAAGATATACAACAATCCTATCTCTTTTCTATCAATGTTCCGTTCTCATTCCGTTTCGCTATTTCTTTCTCCATCGGGACGCACCCTCCCATGGAGTCAGAAATAGCGGAACGGAACAACAACGGAAAAGACAAATCGAAGGGGTTAAGCGGGGAGCACAGACTTTTGCATAACGCATAAAGCATGTGCATAAGGAATTTCATTGGCCCATTTTCTTATGCATGAGTCAATGGACCAATCAAATTCTTTATGTATATGGTTTATGCGTTATGCAAAAGTCTGTGCTTCCCGCTTAAATCTTATTGTGCATGAATAGTGACAATTAATATAGAAAGGAGGTCACTTTTCATTTCGTGAAAATTTTCGAGGGACAGAATTAATTACCGTGGGTGTAAATGACAGATTATTCAAGGTACAAATTCAAAATGAACATACCTAAATATAAGTAAAACAGATTACAATCTGCATATTACAGTTTTCTAGAAAATAACTGCAATGAACATACATAAAATATATTTTCTTTGTTGAATATGTACCACGAAAAGTAACTAATAGATCATTCAAGGTGCAAATTCGAAATGAACATACATAAATATAAGTAAAACAGATTACAATTTGCATATTACAGATTTCTAAAAAATTTCTGCAATTTGTTATTCTTAGTGCACAAAATATAAAAGTCGGTTATTGAGATTTGATTTGAAATTTATTTAATTTATACTAGCCCGTGCAATGAAAAATAATTGCTTGTAATTCCAGAGTACCAATCTGTTAATGACTCGGAAAAAGAACATAGTAAGCAAGGAACATTACATTAACATTTTGAAACATTGATTTTATATGAATTTTATCAACGTTATTACGTAATGTGATATAAATATTGTTTAAATATTGCTGAATAACATGATATTTTTCAATATTTAAAAAATATTTCCGTAATATTATTTGAAATGTTTTATAAATGTTGCTCTAATACGTTTATTTAGATAATGTCAACATATATGCAATGATATAAGAATATTTTGTCAACGTTCTTACACAATGTTACATAAATGTTTTTAAAATATTGCCGAATAATATGATATTTTCCAATATTTAAAAAATGTTTCCGTAATATTATTCGTAATGTGTTATAAATGTTGCTCTAATATATGTTTATTTAGATGAAGTCAACATATATGCAATGATATAAAAATATTATATGAACGTTCTTACATAACATTATATAAATGTTTTTAAAATATTGCCGAATAATATATATTTTCGAATATTTAAAACATATTTCCTTAATATTATTTTAAATATTTTATAAATGTTGCTCTGATACGTATATTACACAATACAATATTTCATATTTTTTATACGATTTCAGATAGACTGTATGATGATCACGATATGCACAAATGAATTTACTGAAAATTTAGAACAATTTTATGATTACTTATGACATTATAAAAGTGAAAACTGACATTTTAAATTGTAATTTGACTCTTATTCGCTATTTTTAACGTATTAATTATTATTATAAAAGTGAAAACATTTACATTAAGGGAATTATAAAATTTAGGTATTTCAGTGATTAAATTTTTGGTCATAGAGTTTTGCAATAACATATATGTATGAAAAGTTTATTTCAGATTTGTAACATTATTTTTACGATATTACTATAAGGAACATTTACATCATATATAATTATATGCAATATACGTTATAAAATGATGCACATTTGCAGTTATTATGTGATGCATAGTAAGCATAAATGATTTGTAAACTTATCTTTATTTTACGCCGCATAAAGTAAGATAAATATACTGCAAATTTTAGGTAAACAGATGTCGATTTTGATATACTGAATTTTGTTAAATGGTTTCGTAGGCCGGTATTCATAGTCACAGTTCTAATATTCAAGACCTTCTTAAGTTCAGTCTTGAAGAGTTAAGCCCATGACACATAGAAAAACGTAAGGTCGTAAACGTAAACAGTAAGCGAATTGACCAATCACAGTTGAGAATGTAAGCAGTCGCTGCTACGTTCTCAACTGTGATTGGTCAATTCGCTTACTGATTACGTTTACGGCCTTACGTTTTTCTATGTGCCATGGGCTTTACGAATCAATCAAAGGGCCGCTTTATCATCTTAAGACATTACTTAAGGCAATCTTGAAATAAGAATCGACTATGAATACCGGCCGTAATTCTTATATGATGTCATAGTAAGCATAAATGATTTGTAAACTTATCTTTATTTTACGCATAAAGTAAGATAAATATACTGTAAAGTTTAGGTAAACTGATGTCGATTTTGATGCATTGAAAATTGCGAAATTTGATCAATGAGAATAAAGGAATTTTAGTTTCTATTATTTTGATTGGCCAAATTTCAATCTTTAATCTCAATCTTCAATGTGTATTCTGATTCCAGTCTATGCGTACACTTTGCTTTGATTAGAGGAATTTAGCTCGATTATAAGATTAAGGTATAGCATGCTGTAGTTTAGTCATGACCGGGTAAAGATGACCGTTATCCCCCTCCCTTGTCAAGTTGGCTTCACCTTATTTTGTGGAGGTAGCGAACTAGATATTATATAGAAATCTGTGGATGAGCCTTATTCGGCTCAGGTACCTTTTATATCACTTTCAGAATATAGTTCTTACTTTTTTAATTATTTCTGTGTACACATATAATTAACTTATATTTATTTACATATAATTATATTCTCATATTACACTTTCTTATTATAATTACAATCCATTGGATATACAATATTCTTGAAAACACATAATATGATGAGATATCGACGGTATTCGAACCATTATATGATCAAGACGAATGACAGTCTAATACCAAAGTGTTCAAACAAGCGTGCGATTATAGCTCAGCGTTAGCGTATTAGGTTCCCACCCAGAGATCTTAGGTTCGAATCCCGTCGATATCCCGATATGCATTTTCAGAAACATATATATGTTCAATGTGTTATTATTATTAATTACATGATAAGAAAGATGATATATGTACATAATACAAATAATTAAAAAAGAATTAAAAAATTAAATTAAAAATTTTTTTTGGTTGGAATATTCCCAGATAGACAAATGTATGTACGTAAACTTTATGGCAACTTCACTTTTATATTAGAATAATTCAATGCACAATATTGCAGCAACATTTAGTAAATCGGAAGACGAAATATCATTACGCAAATATAACGTAAATATGAGAAACAAAGATGTGATTTTGTTTTTCTCATATTTGCATCATGATATTTCATTCCCTGATTTACTAAATATTGCTATTTCATCGTCATATGAATATTGTTCTAATGTAAGAAAAATATTACCGCAACATTAGTTTCAACGATATTTCATCATCATATGAATATTGTTCTAATGTTAGAAAAACATTACTGCAACATTAGTTCCAACGATATTTTATCCTTATATCAACATTGTTCTAATGAAATAAAAATATTATCGCAACATTAGTTGTAATGATATTGCAACTCCATATCAACATTACTGAAATCTCTAAATGTACGTCAAAGTTTGTTTACGATAACGTTATATACAACGTTAACAACTACATATTCCAAAATGTTACATGTTGTTAAATATCATTTCAATAACGTTGCTGGAATATTATTTTGCTTACTGGGAACAAGGCGGCCTGCTCTCAAAAGATTTTCGATGGATGGAATAAATGATTGAAATAGAAGTTATGATAAATCAAAATTATTAAATAAATGTAAAACAGTTACTTTTCCTGGTAATATATTATGCGCGGTGAGGTGTTATGAGAGGGACAGTGAAAGCTAGACGGAGGCGATTCGAAAATCAACCAAATGTTGCATTGTCGCCCTCACCGCTCCGCGGGCAGTCGAAATGTCCCATGACAGTCGAATACACTTTACGTTTGTTCACATTATATTGGCAACTTTAATAATTAATAATCAGTTAATTACTTTTCGTGGTAATATATTACAATTTAACTCGTGATAGTACTGCGATGGTTTTAAATATACGTCATATCGGTCAGCAGTCGGGAGTATTTAAAACAAGTTTAGTGGAGGGAAATTACCGGAGATTTTAAAAAAAAAGGGAACCGTTCACAAGAAGCAATTTTTTTTGCGTGAATGGGTCAAAGGCAATGCGAATAAAGGATATCTGAGTTTTCCAGATTCCCCGAGGTCCGAAACATTGTTTTTTTTAACATTTATTTAAAAAATAGTGTTTTTTACAAACTTCCAACGTAATCTCCTTAAGATCTCCTAATTCTTGATTCTGAACGTTATTTAACCCTTCCTCGACACTATGGGTCAATGTGACTCGTAGGTTCAGTTTGAACGCTTATATCTTTCTGGCAATTCAAATAACGACGGTTTCATGGCCTTCTGGTGGCAGTCGAGGGATTGAACTATAGCTGTGGATGATTTCCTCGCGATCCCGAGCCCTCAGTAGCCGGTGAGCGTCGGTCGAAAAAGGACTCGGGTCAATGTGACCCGGTGTGCTTGTTGTAAATAAATATATTTTTTGGGCGGAACCTTAAAATAAATTTTTTTTTACATATTTACCTATGTTTCGAGAACCTACATTTCAAATTTTAGCTAATTCCATTAAAAATTAAAAAAAAATTTTTTTCGTAAAACTTGATTTTTTCAAAAAAAAATTTTTCGCGAATTTTTTTAAGCATGTTAATAATTTTTAATACTTTTTTTTATGATCGGATATCATTTAAGTATGTCTAAAGTATAAGTCAGAATTTTTTCAGGTCGATCGGTGCATTCATGACTGAATGGCGAGCGATCAAAGTTCGTCTCGGGTCACATTGACCCGCACTGGCGTATTTGATTAAAAAAATAGGTGTGTCGAGGAAGGGTTAAATAGGCGTTTAATATCTGAATGTATTCACATCCATATACAGGAGAATGGGTTAAATAAACGTATTGACACTGATGGTTTGCATCAAAATTATAATAAAACATTGCTAGACGAAATGTAATATAATTTATAATTAATTTTCTCTTATGTATATTTTTTATAAGCGTTAATTTTACATTGTATTCATTTTTAAAGAATTGACTTATGTATATTTGTCCCTACATATTTATTTTCTTCAAAGTACGACTTAGCAATTCTTTGTAATATTAACAGTTTTAACTCTGACACCGAAGTGAAAACATGTTTGTTGTCATTTGAACTATATTCTTATGTGATAATTATTAGTTTAAGTCTAAGATATATATATTAATGAGGTCCACGATTATGATATTCTCTGCATTTTAATTGCAAGGTAGGACATTCTTATATTAATTTATGATAAAAATTATATTAATAACATAATATTCACAGATACAACATCCTTTCTGTCAAATTGATGAACTATCTTTGTATATTGAATTGGAGATTGTTTTGATTGTATTGCTGAAGAAGACTCGAAAATGAGTCGAAACGTACTTAATTAAAGATTTGATTGAAGATCCGTTTGTTGGACTATTTACGTACCTACAACAACGTTGCACTCTCACATGCCCGTTGATTTTTGAATGTTTTTTACGTTTTCTTCTTCAGGTTTTTGCGAATATCTCAGGTTCTACTGGTTGTACAGAGAAAAAAAAAATACCAAATTGTTCGTCATAAAATTGCCTTTAAAAAAGTATTAATAATGAAATTGAAAATCTTGCAACATAACCTTAAAAAAAACAAAAACCATCGTACATGGTAAATTTTCGTTTTTATTTTTTAAGTTTTTTTCTAATCGGTCAATTTGAATGATATTGCAGGAAAAGTTGAATCTAATGACCATAATTACGTGTAAAAAATTTGAATCCAAAATATTCATTCGGACGGCCGTTATGCCCGTTTCAATTTGAAAATTGATCAGCTTGTAACTTTTGGGCACGCAATGGAAAGTGACCTTTTTTTTTTTTTAAATTGTAGGTTTTTTTATGCTCTTTAAGATGGTTATAATCAATATTGTCAAAACCCCAAAAAAATATTTTTAAAATTGATTTTACCGAAAAAAAAATTTTTTTTCGTTTTTTTCTTATATAAAAATTCGAGTTTAAACAATAAATTTCTATTTTTTGTAAACAAATTAATTAAATAATGTACGCGGAATGTGGTTAACATATGCAGATCCCCAATTTTCGTTAATAATTATAGAAATAAATTTTTTATCTGACTTTCATTACCTGAAATCAGAAGGTTAGTAGTTGAAGAATGTGTCAAATATTCCAATATATATATGGGCCCAAATAGGCCCAATATTTTCAGCAACGGTAATAGTTTTCGACCGTTAGGCCCCGTCCCTGTCATTTCTAAATAGAATCATGGTATAAACACAAGGGTATGCTCATCCGGTGGACGAATTTAGAAAGCCTTTGCGCATCACTCAGTTTACGTCACATTCGGCTATTTTCGGATGCTTTCGGAAGCTTTCGGACTCTGAGTGCCAATGAAGTATGGGCTGCCGTCAATTACATATATGGATGCCGTATTTATGATATTCGTTAAAGCGGTAAAGTAAGCAAGAGTTTTTATTAAAAATAATGGCTGTTTGTGCAGTGAAAGTCTGCAATAATTATTATCGAAAAACGGTAAAAATGAAAGGAGAGGAAATAAATATTTCAGGTTTCCTAAAGACCCTGAAATTGCTGCAAAATGGATCGAAGTGTGCGAGGAAAATGTAAATTTAACGCATGGTAAGGTTGAAATATTTCATATTAACGCATAAACAAATTGATAGTGTAAATGTAAATAACTAATCTGGTTAGGTTAACTTTTTACAATCAAACAAAAATATCACGAAACTCTTGGTGAAAATTTGTCAGAATTTTTACATGAATTAAAACGCTTTCAGAAGTATTGAGAAAGAATACACTTTTTCTTATAATTTTTTATTATATGTGAATTCGTATAAACATTCGTATAAACAAATCTAGATTTTAAATTCTTTATTAAAAATATTTTTAAATTATATGAAAAATTTTCACCAAGAGCACTGACAATTTCATCGATTAATATTATTGTACAATTCCACCTTATTTATTTATGTATTTATTTATGCTGAAACAATAGAGGATAATAATAAGGGCAACTCTGAGCCCGGATCCTCATACGGACAACAGCGCTTTGACACCGGACGCTGATTGGTGAAAAACAGGTTATGGGGGTAAATTTTACCCTCGCAACCGGTTTTTCACCAATCAGCGTTTGGCGTCAAAGCGCTGTTGCCCGTATGAGGATCCGGGCAGAGAGTCAACGAAACATTTCAAATTAAATTTTCCTGTATATAAAAATTTTGAATTTAATTAAATTTCGTATGCATACATGACATGTTTCGGCCCCTTGATTGAGCCTTCTTCAAATGTAATGATTATCAAAATTTCTTAATAAATATAGTCATTACTTGTATTATATATACACGTTATACTTATTATATGACATATTAGTTATTATATACACACATATACCTGCAATTGTTTTTTTATTCATTTCATCGTCCATTCCTCAAAGATAAGTTACAAAAGAATCTTAAATGATCATTATATGTATATATTTTTTTTGTAAAGAGAGCACAATGAAAGTTTTTTGCTAATTGCGTATTTCTACAATAAATAATGTGAATTGCTTTTCAAGAAAAGTATTAATTGTTACTAAAAGTGTAAAATCACCTTCCTTTATATAAATTATTTCACAATTTATATAATGGAAGATGATTTCTTTTTTATTTTTTGAAATTATTTGTGATACGTATTAGAATAAATTATTTGAATTTAGCGGCGAGAAATCACGTTTTTAAAGTCAATCTTATTAGAAAATACCGTAATTCAATACTGTATGTAGAAGTACTAAGCAAATGCATTTTGAATTTGCCGCTTAATGTGACGTATACTGAGTGACATTTCTGATTGGTTGTCTGGAACTATCATGCGCGTGAGCATACCCTTGTCTTTATACCATGAATAGAATCCAGTCGTGCTCGAGCAGCAGATGTGCCCTCTGGTCTGGCTGTGTATATGTACAGTTTATTCGGATAAGAAATATTCTATATAAAATGACTTATTTAAGAAGGTATGTTTACATTTATTTTTTAAAATAACTTAATTTCTTGCTTTTTACGTGTAAAAATTATCAATTTTTATACATACATTACAAACTGCACGTATAATGGTACTAATTTTTTGTTACAGATAATTTTTTCCATAGCCTGATCGCCTGAAAAGTGTCCCCGTTTCGATTGTCAATATGGCGTTCTGACGGACCCCACTTTCCGGTTTGTGACGTCAGCGTCTGCGTATTACTCGCCTTGCATCAAAAGTTGTAGAAAATGGGAAAACGCGTTTGTACAGTTCTTAATTGCCGAAATAGGCTGGAAAGTACCAAAAAACGAAACAAAGAATTGGGAATTAAGAATAAAAGTCTTTTTAAAGCACCTAAAGTACGTAAGAAAATACTGATTACATTTTGTAAGGTTATGTGCAACATTTATGGTTATTCTTTTTTATTATCAGGACAAAAATTTGTTGGATCGGTGGACTGCAATTTTAGGTCAGTTGAAAAGGCCACTTACTGAATATTGTTTCGTTTGTGAGGAACATTTCAGCATCGATGATGTTTTTCATTCAAACGATATTTTACTAAATGATGGTACAGTACATCATACTAAAAAAATAGTATTGAAATTGAGACCAAATGCTATTCCGATAGTTGCCGAGAATTTGACCGGTGACGATTGTGATGATATAAATATGGAAGTACCGTCCTTGTTCAATAACGTTACTCCTCAAAGAAACGACAATTGTGAACAAGCTGTAGAATCATCCACCGCAGAAAATATCAACCAAACTCCTGAAAAATTAAATTTTGAAATGTCAATATCAACGTACTCGAACATATTGCTTCCAAGTTGTTCATGGGGTGCAATCAAAAGTGAAAATGAAAAATCTATCACATTTTTAACAGTTGACAAAAATGAAGTGTTACGACGTTTTAAAATTTGATGATCTAAGTGTACAAGTGCTTCTGGACGATATTCCGATTAGAATAAAATGTGTACCGAGTTCTGTAGAGTTACAGAAAGATATTGTCAACATACTTCATCTTATTCATAATATGGAAGTATGCAAGAATTTTAAAGATGCAAAAAGGTTATTGAAAGAATAATTAATCTAATTATATATAAACTTGTACATATAAACTTTTGTATCATAAATTAATTATTTAACGTGTAATAAATTAATTATTAAACATTATTAAATTAATTATTTAACATTGTGATACAAATTTGGGATTTGTTACTAATAGTTCATTTTTATTTACATAACTCGTATTATTCAGTAATATAACGTAATGTTAGAAAAAAAACACACATTTGAAACAACCTAATTTCCGCGCGGATCAGTTCGTCTCAAATTTCGCTAGTCGCGAAAAAGGTTCGCACGGGAAGAGAGAATGCAGAATCAAATGATTAGACTAGACACAGTATTTTACAAGAGACAGAAACGTTTATTGTGTGTAGTGTGTGTATTTACAAATGAGTGTGTGTACGTGTTCGTAAATGACAAGCAGGTGTGTATTCGTGTGCCGGTGTAGATGTGTATGTTGTGTATATTGTCGAGACGGCAAGTAGACGAGACGGATACAAGACGTGTATAGAAAAACTACGAGGCGCGGACAAAGAAACTAAGATATTACGGACGGCACGAACAGAAAAACTAGACGTGTAAATTACGGCGCGAGTACGGCGGAAAACACGTGGGGATCTTTAAATCCCAAGACGGACGCGGGGCGCGGTCGACGGTATGACGATACAAATTCGCGGACGCGGAGTATACGCCAGCGGCGGACGATGGTCGCGGCGCGGATAACGCGGCGGGCGTTCCCTTTATGTAATGAGGGACGCTTCGCAAAAATGTAAAATGCACAGGAACCTTACGACCGACTGCCAAGAACGCTTGGCGGAGGCGAAGAACACTTCACCCCCTTTTCTCGCCGGTGCGCAAAGTCTAGGATACTGGCGTACGGCTGTCAAGAACGCTTGACGGAGGCAAAGAACGCTTTACCCCCTTTTCGCGTCGTACGGCCAGCGGATCAGGAACTTTGGTGATCGACTGTCAAGAACGCTTGACGGAGACCAAGAA